GACGGCCCCCCTTAACAAAAACTACCCCCAAAAAAAAAAAAAAAAAAAAAAAAAAGATACCAGCTTCAGCACAATTTCCCCAACCTACTGCCCTACTGTCAAATGGGAAAATGGACTGAGGAAGTCAAAGCTTGCTAAGAAAAATACTTACTGTTGCTCTCAAAATCCCAAAAAGCGCAGTGAACTTGATCATAATTCTGGAAAAAGAAGAAATTGGAGGTGAACATCTTTTGATAATTACCACACAGTGACAAGTACACACGTGTTTTCTTCTCAAATTTTTTCAAACAGTAGACACACATATACACATACACACACACACATAAACACACACAGACCATTTGTGAGTTCAGTTTAAGATTAACCTCATCTAACTCAAGATTTATGAGTGAGGACACAGAATATCGCTGCTTGGTGATCTGGTACGTATCTTTAAAAGTATTTGGTATCGTGGGACCAGCAATTGGCGTGGCCATCCCCCTTGGGGGTGATTTCTTGCTTTCTGTCTCTCTGTCTCTCTCTGTCTTTCTGGCAAGCTCACATGCCCTTTAGCAAAAACCTCTCCAAAAATATTTGATATCACTGGAATTTGTCATGCCCTTCAGTTGCAAGGCTCAGGAGGAGGCTACGGATAGTCACTGTAAGATTGATGTGTGGTAGATATTTATTTCAGAGCTTTGGAATTTGGAGCACACAGCCTAGATCAAGCCTTATGGACACAATGTTGAGCTGCCTCTGCATTAGGCCAACTGAGCATTCCTAAGCCACACCAGCTTCTATAAGCTCCAGGAAACTGGAGGCAAGGAGTGATTAGTTACTGGGGATGATTGGACAGCTATAGCCACAACCCAGATAGAAAGATCTTATCCATCTAACATGTTTCATCTGGTATCTGCTTTTAAAATCCCCTCTCTCCCTTTTCCTTCTCTTCTTTCCTTCTAGAATCAAGATCATTGAAAAATATGCTGTACCATATGGTCTTTTAGACTGAGAATGAAGGAAGCTATTGGGACTTCATGCTGGACATACATTAATACCAAAGAATGGAATAGTGATTCATTTTTATGCTTAGGCTAGATTTGATCATTTAGCAATATATACCTTATGTTATGCCATCTGACTATGGTTTTTAGTCCTTTGGTGATATTTAGTATACATTTTAATGCTCCTCATAGAAATTCAAAGAATACAAATGTTCAATTACTTCAAATAAGGCTGTTTACCTCACTTTAAAAAAATGAAATTAAATGTCATTTAGTGTGATGGTACAACCAAAAGATCCACCTGTTCCCAGTCACTGCCCTGCCAAATCTGTCACAGTGCAAGAATTCTCACCATTCACTATCCCTCTAGGATAAGTCATTATTTCTAAAAGGTCCCAATTACAATACATAGTGGAATGGGATGATCTTCATTAAGTTTTAGAATCACAACTGTTAGTCAATTCTTTTTAACAGGAAAATCATCAGGGGGAGGGGGGATTGTGGCCATTTTATTTTGAGATGAAAATAGATGTTTTACCTGCTTTCCTTCAATATGCTGCAGAGTGATAACCACTGGGTCAGCCAAGTTTTGAATGGACATATCTGAAATGCTGGCACTCACAACATATGTGGTTAATGCTTTGGTGACATTTTTGGTCTGTAGATGAAACATAAAGAAGTCCGGGTCCTAAATTTATAGCATCTTTTAAAAAAAGAATTATTTCATTTTATTTATTATTATCATTATTTTAAAATTTGATCAGAGAGGAAGAGAGGGAAAGTGAGAAAGCAAGCCTAGAGGTCCTGGATTTGAACCATAGTTGGCCATGTGGGGACCTAGCACCTTAACCACTATGCCATCTACCAGCACCAAATTTATAATTTCTTACATGTTTATAATAAATCTAAAATTTTTGAATACTACACAAAGTATTTGCTACAGAAATGTGGAAAACGAAACTGCAAGCTAGGGTCAACAGGTGGCATGGTGGTTAAGGCACTAGGTCCCAAATGGACAACTCCACAGTTTGAGTTCCAAGCCTGCTTCCTTGAGAAACATTCTAGGCATGTGTGTGTGCCCAAAATCCTGAGAGGAGAATGGAGGAGAAGGGATTGCAGTATGGCCATACCCCCTGGAGGGTGATTTCTCACTTTCCCTCTCTGTCTCTCTCTGGCAAGCACACGTGCCCTAAGGCAAAGAGATTTATTTATTTATTAATAAGAGGGAAAAGAAAAAGAAAAAAATTGCAAGATAAGGATGAATTTTCAGAGGTCATTCAGCTAATCTCCTGTCTTTATGTAATGTGTCAGTTATACAGAGTGACTTCAAACAGCTTTTGGAAAAAATGGAATTAAAGTACAAATTTATTATGATGCAAAAATATTTTTGAAATCCATGCATAATTTTTTTCACAAAATGCATATTCTATGAACTACTTGAGGACCCCCTCATATCAAGCTAGAACAATGTATTAATCCATCCTTACATCCAAATATCTATCCAACAAGCACTGCTTTTGCATCTGTTACTCAGCACTTCACTAGCAACAAGATGAAATTATTGGGTTGTCGGAAAAGCCATGATGTATTTTTCTATGCAAAAATGTGTCATGACTTTTCTGACAACCTAATATTTCCTACTTTGATAGCTCTCCAGACCCTGACATTTCACAACTCATCCCAGTTCTAACCTTCAACCACTCTACCTACTTTTAGGGAGTCTTTTATTACAAGGAACCTAAATCTATCCTGGATTACTTATAAAACATTTTCTGTTCTAATCTCACTGGAGATGGAAGTAGGTTGACCAACATTCAGCTTGGAAAAAGTCTCTAAGGATTGTCATCTCCTTCTTGGGGACCTTGGGTTCTGGGGCTTGAGCCAACTATTTTGTGTCCTGGTGTCCTTTGCATGGCCTAGTTCATGAGAGGAATCTTATCTTGTGCCCACTGTGAGTCAGTTACTTTGCTAAGCACATTCCACAGACATACTATCTTCATTTCTCACTGAAATCATGTAGGCATTTTTCAGATAAACAGAGGCTTGGAGAGACTCAATGTCCATCTGGATAAAGGTCACACTACTAGTAAATGACAGAGCAGTGATGCTTGATATATGTTAGTATAAAGGCAACAAATTAGTGTAAACTTGTTAAGTCCTTGCTAATTGACAGGGTTCAACTGCCGCAAATCAGGGCTCCAGGAGGCAAGACAGTTGGGAGACCACCTCTTCTGGGGCACACACAAAGGGACCAGAGGTAGATATGGTATAAAACAGGAAGGAAAGAGAAAAAAAATCCCTTGAGGACTTGCCAGCAAAGTCTAGAGTAAGAGAACCCAAATGCTGTCCCTTGGAGAACATACTGGGCAACTTTCAGAAGATGTCAGGCCTTCATATTTATGAAGAAGCAGCATGCATTCTGCCTTCCCTACCCCACCTGAGTCCAGTAGCTACTAATAAGTGGGTAATTGTGAAAGTAGGCTGGGGCTCTACTAAAAACCTTCTCACTTCCTGTTCGTCCCAAATCAGCTTGATGGCTCAGCACTCCCTTCACATTGGAATTCCACTGGGGCAGCCTGAGGTAGAGGTTGATCAGCAGCAAGATATGGTGAAAAGGGCACTGACTGATACTAAAAAGATCAAGCAATAGTTTGAGCCATCTGTTTCTGGGTCATTGGTGACACAGGAAGAGAGGGTGGACTAGATGATATCCAGCAACACTCCAAACTTAGTCTGAGAAATGCAGGTTTCTGAAGAAGAAAGGACAAAGGAGGAAACACACAATGATCCAGGACTTCATTAGCCTGTTCTCTGGCATTACTTTCCTTACCTGCAAAATGGTAGCAGTGCCAGGAAAGAAACTAAATCATTACTCACTTCTCTCCTCTTTACACTCTAGGCTCAAGTTTTATCTATCACACCATTGAACATTTACACAAGTGTTCTCTCAGCCCCAACCCTCCCCTCCATCCTTTTCCTCACTCTCTTTTGGCTTCTAGCTCCTACTCAACCTCAGGTTTCAAGTGCAACCTTTCATAAACAAGTCCTTTCCTGATCTCCCAGATGAGGGTAGGGTCCTTCTTTCATATTCCAAAAGTCCCTATGCCATACCATACTTGCCTGGTGCCTTGTTTCTCTCCCTGGAAACTGCAGTTTAGTGGACGAGTATAGGAGGAGGTACATGTTGCTTAAGATTAGAGGCTTATCAACAATTTCTAAGGTAATATGTTGTAATTACTGTTAGAATTTTGATCAAACATGCTAGAGCAAATGGTGTGAAAGCAAGACCGTGAGACTCAGGGACTCAAGAGAAGGTAGTTAAGGGTAGTATCTCTTATAAGTACTTACTCCCTAACAACCACTGGCGTATATCCCAGCCTTGAGTCACCCACTTCAATTTAAAACCAGTAGGTCTTCGTTGTGCCCCATCAGGTTCTAAGTTTCATGAAAGTAGGCACCACGTCTCTCTTGTTCAGCAATGTATCTCTAACATCCAGCATCACATAAGGCACATAGTAGAAATTAAATAAATATTTGCCAAATGGATAAATGATTAAGTGAACAAATGAATAAACTGTGTCATTTTCACCCACCCCCTGCCCCTCTCTGGGTCTCAATGTCTTCATTAGTAAAACGAGGAGATGGAACATTATGAGTTAGGAGGACCATTCTAGCTCTGAATTTGATATAAGGATAGTTCTAATCCTTCTTCATCCGGCACCATGATGTCTGTAGGCTAATCCTGGCAGACACTTAATCCCTTTCAGTAGAAGTTATCAGTGAATAAAAAATATTTATTAACAACAAATACGTGCAAAACAAATTTATCTTACTCTATGACACAAGTATAGCTCTCTCAAAAAAGAAGAGAACTTAAGACCAAACAAATGGCATCTCAGATAATATAGAGAAACTACAAACCTATCAAAAGAGTCAGAGTACAATGGACCATGTTTTAAATTTCCATGAAATATTATTGTTCACTAAACACTTTTGTCCGGAGGGCAAGGAGGAGAACAGGGGCTTACTGATTCTTAACAGGCATCTTGGGTGGAATTAGAGCTACGTCCACAGGAAGAAACAGAATTTAGATCAAGAGAAGTGGTCAGAGAACTCCAGGGGAGCATGAATAGCAATGCAAACGTGTGGTGCATATTACATGCCAGGCACCATTGTAAACACTGGATATGTATCAACTCCTGTAATCCTTCAATAGTACCATAAGGTACTATTTACATAGGAGGAAACTAAGGTGCAAAGAGGCTGAGTAACTGGTCTGAGATCACAAAGTAGAACGTGGCATAGTAACTTTAAATTCAGCCAGCCTGGCCTCTGAGTCCATGCTCTTCAGCATCATACTATACTGTCTCTGTTTTCTAGTGGGTGAAGGCCAGAACCGCATAGAAGTTTCTATGAAAGTGGTAGGAAGAAGCAACAATGCCTGTAGGAAGGTGTTCTACTGGACATCACCCTGCTTCAAATAAATTGGCCCAAAAGAGTGGGCTTATGTGGAGCCAGAGGAGATTCAAGAGGAAAGCACTGTCAAGCCAAAATAGCCTTTCATCGAGAGAACTTGCTGTTCTTTTCTGGCTTTGAAACTTCTCGAGACTTCTGTTTGGTCACCAGATAATCCTTAAGGTCCCTTCCAAAGCTGAGAATCTGTGAAAATTAAAAACTGTAGAACATCATTAAAGTAGATGTTGATTCATGGTGAGGGCCAGGGGTTGTGCTGGGAGACTTGAGGAATCAATCAGAGAGTAAATTCTAAAATAAATAGAACATCATGAAAATAGCAAGAATTCATAATTACAATGAGTCACCGTATTTCAGTTCATCACAGTTACCAGAGGCAAAAACTTACTTTAAATAGTGAAGTTTGGCCAAAGAAATTAAACAAGATGGTCTGCAAGTTGTCAAGAGGAATCCTTTCCCTCAGTGATTTAGGCAGATATATAGAAGCCAAAGCTTTCCCCAGAGGGACATCACTTAAGTAAATCTGCCAAAAAACAAAAATCAGAAAATGAAAACTGAAATCTTTTCTTACCAGAGTGAAATCCTGACCATATCCCATCTTAGCTCCAGCCCCAGAGTATCACAGAGACAACTGAAAGGTAAGAACTAGCTCCATAAGCTGTGACACACCTCTTGCACACACACGCATGCACGCTCTCAGAATGACAGGCCAAGATGTGATCCTAAGCACATAGACATAGACATGCATGTGCACCCCCTTTTCCTAAGCCTATCCTGAAATCCTCTCCCTTAGACCTGTTTCCACATAAGGGATAACAGAGGTGAGAAAGAGAGTGGAAAATTAGGTGATTTGTTCTGATTCTCAGAAATAAAGGTCATTTATGAAAATCTGGCCACATTCTACATAGTTCTGAAAGGGAAAAAAGAAAAACAACAAAATCCATAACACACTGGAATTATTTTATTGAGCAATACTTTTGTAAAAGAAAAATGGGGCAGGGGGACCAGCAGTTAGTGTAATGGCTATGTCACTGGACTCCCACGTAGTCGACCGCAATACGAGTCCCAGACCCGGTGGCTTAAACTCACGCCAGGCGCGTGTGCGTGCGTGCCCAAGATCCCGAGAGGAGAACGGAGGAGAAGGGATTGCGGCATGGCCATCCCCCCTGGGGGGTGATTTCTCGCTTTCTATATCTCTGTCTCTGTCTTTCTGGTGAGCGCAAGCACCCAATAAGAAAAAAATTATCAAAAAAAAGGGGGGGGGCAAGGTGGGGCCAGCAGGTGGTGTGGTGGTTAAGGTGCTGGACTCCTACCCACATAGCCAACTGCAGTTCAAGTTCCAAACTTGGTAGATTTAAAATCACACTAGGTGCATGTGCTTGCATACCCAAAATCCCAGGAGGAGAATGGAAGAGAAGGGATTGCAGCATGGCCATCCACCCTGGGGCTTGACTTCTCACGTTCTCTCACTTTCTCTCTCTGTCTTGCTCCGGCAAGTGCATGTGCCCTATGGCAAAAAATTAAAAAAAAAAAAAAAGTGGCACAAGGAAGTGAAGCATTAGTCCTTGGGAATTATGCTAGAGGCTCACTGTTACGGTTTGAATTTGTCCCCACAAAAGCATATGTTGAAACTGAATCCCAAATAGAACAGTATTGAGGGGTAGGATCTAATAGGAGATGTTTAGGTGATAGAAGGCTCCACCCTCATGAATGGATTAATCCCAATTATAAAAGGACTTAAGGCTGAGAGTTCAATCTCTTACTCTCATCTTCTTTTTGCCTTTGTAACATGTATCTATGCAGTAAGAAAGCCCTCACAAGATATCAGCCCTTGATCTTGGAATTTCCAGAGAGAACGTGAGAAGTCAAACCATATGCTAAATAAATTTCTGCCTGTTATAAATGATCTAGTCTCAGATATTCTGTTATAGCATCACAAAATAGACTAAGACATCCACTATCAGAAGTATTTGCTGATTGATTGGTAATAGTATTCTAAGTACTGGAACCTTTTTGAGAGTGAAAGTGAGCTTTATAAGTAATTACACTGTGACCATAGTCATAAACCTGGATTCCCCCAGGCAAAACAGGATGTATGGGCACTCATTTCAATCTTCTCATTTAATCCCTTCATCAACCCTGAGAGATACATTGCATTATAGTATTATGAAATGAAGGTTCAGAGAGATTAGGTGACTGGCCTAGGGTCACACAGCTGGGATGTGTTTAAACAAAGATGTAAGTAATTTTTTTTCTCACATTTTTCTTATTATCCATGCTGGCTCTCAAGTTGCTATTATCTATCTGGGTGCATAATGATACGATGAAAGTTCATAATATTTCTAAAAATGACTTTTGGATCCAAAAGCCATAAAATTTCACCA